TACTGTGAAAAATGTGGAGGAATTACTGTGTACTCTACATGGCATAACATTGTGGAAAAGTGAGTGACATATGAATGAATGCCTTAGGGGAACATGCCTACACAACAGTGGTTTAAAGAACCCACAACTAGAGATGTCCCGATCCGATCACGTGATCGGGGATCGGAGCCGATCACGAGATTTTCAANTATTATTATTATTAAAGGCAAGGCAAGGCAAGGCAAGGCAAGTTATTTATATAGCACTTTTCAACACAAGGCAATTCAAAGTGCTTTACAAAAAATGAAAGACATTAAGAAAATGGCATTTAATTTCATTTTTTGTAAAGCACTTTGAATTGCCTTGTGTTGAAAAGTGCTATATAAATAACTTGCCTTGCCTTGCCTTGCCTTGCCTTTAATAATAATAATACAGCTTTATTTATATAGCACATTTCATACAACACATGCAGCTCAAAGTGCTTTACAAAATGACACATCACAAGTTAAAACAAACATCAAGAAATTCCCCTCAGATTATTTGTTAAGAAATGTAAAGGTACATGCAGCAAAATGCAACATATTATCAGGTTAATAGAGACAAGGGGGTAAAATGTATGATAATACAAATAAATAAAATAAATAATAGCTTCAGCATAATGTTAATTTGATAACATCAAATACAGTATACATAGAAATTTGCACAAAAATGTATAGATACTTTTTTTTCTCTAATGCGTTTCCATAGAAGGGCCTTTAAAATATAAAGTATAATACATGATCGAATCTTTAAAAAACACTAAAGGTGTAACATTTTCTTATCAGTGTGTTTGAAGATGATCTCTTCATCAGACTGCCGGGTCAACGCCAGTGATTGGTTTGTCTCTACTCAAGGATTTGTTATGACTTTATATAGACTTTATTTTATCTTTTTTGATGATGTGAAATGGCCACAGACGCCATGTTTGACACTAAAATAAAAAAAGTTACGTATGATATGTGTTAAGAATGATCAAATAATATAACCGTAGGCCCACTGGTTTGTTATATCTTTAACCAGACCAGGCAAACTTAGAGAGTTCGTGAACAGCTACTTGAGGTGAGATTGTTTTCACTTTTATCTATTATCTTGTTAAAGCTGCTTCACTTTTGAGTTCAGTTTATACAAAATGAGCTCCTAGTTTCTCTTACCAGGAACTGCAGCAGGATACCGAGGTGGCTGGGGGTGAAGGGAAGCAGGAAGGCACTTAGACTGCTGTAGATGATCTTCACACAGGCCCGGCTCTGGGGGCTGTGCTCGCCCGACTTCTGAAGCACCCAGATGGTCTTAACCGAGCAGTAAACCACCACCAGGGCAGGCAACAGGAACCCAAACACCTGCAGGCAGATGATAACCAGAGGGCTCCATCCTTTCTCTGAAAAGTGGTGGAAGCAGTAGAATTCAGACGTCTTCCCGGCCTCCCTGAAGCGATAGACGGTGGGGGAGAGGGCTGCCAGCACCAGCACCCAGACCCCCACGCTGGTCCCCAGAGCCAATTTGGGTGAACGCAATACTTTGGCCTTGTAAGGGTGACAGATAGCCACCCAACGGTCCAAAGCTATACACATGATGGTGTAGATGCTGCCGTAAATCCCAACAAAATACAGGCTTTCCAAAACCGAGCAGAGAGGTTGAAGGTCAGCGCGCCAGGGGTGGGTGGCGGCGTGCATTTTGAAGGGAAGGGGGAAGAGGAGGAGCAAGTCCATCAGAGCCAAGCTGGTCATGTGGATAGTTGACTCGGTCCATTTCCGCAAGAAGACGCAGAACACTAAAAGCGCTGCAACGTTGAGAAACAGACCAACGATGAAGATGGGAATGTAGATGGTCAGCTCCAGATATTTCATCAGGTGGTTCACCGCGTCGAACGAGCAGTTGCTTGTCATGCTATTGCTGCTGCCGCTGTAGAGGAAATGGTTTGATTTGATTTCAAAGTGAATCTGTTTTTCCGTCATTGTGCCCACACATAAACGTACAGATGTGCCACTGAGCCAAGCCTTGTGAAACCTCTCAGGTTCAGAAGCTGTTGTTTTTGTATCTATCTTTCTAGATAACACAGTAGTTTCAATCACATGCACTATATTTGCAATGTAAACTAGATTTAGGGCAGGGATACATTTAATTATAATGGTGAATAATATTGAATTTAAATGAGACTTTAATTTATATAGCTTGATCTTGATGGATGTTAAATCTCATTGCAGCTGTATGTAGTCAAACACTAATAAACATTATTTTAAGCATTTGAAGCGATGAAGTGATTTTAGAGTTACTCTGCAGCCATCACTCCAGACAGAGGACAAAAACCCAGATTATTACTACTCTGATAAGTAAGAAATGGTTTCCCAGAGAAGAAACAAAAACATATTTCTGCGGCCATGTATCTCAAGGTAAAACATTTTTTTCCACCAAAGCTACAGTAGGCTATAGTTAAAGTCACGGATGATTACAAGTGACTCAAATTATATTCGATAAATTACGTTCCAAACACATGAACAGTCTCAAATATTACTTTATACTTATTCCAACTAATTCCTTCTAATTCTGAATGTTTTACAATTAGATCTGGCTTGTAATTTAAATATTGTTTTAATAGTGCAACAAACCTTTGTTTTTGTTATCAACATTGAACTCCAACAACAACCTAACACTTTCTTATTATCTACAGTTCAATCTTGATGTTTTCTTACCTCACGTATGCCAGTCTGGGTGTAATGTTCTGTGTCAGTCTGACAGTCTGTTCTGAGCTAGACATACTTCTGCTTTCTCTACCTTTGTTGTTTCATCACCACTTCCTGAGGCATGCCAAGGCAAAATGTGTGTTTAGATGTGCATTATAGCGTGCTTAGAATCAAGGCAGGGGTGAAGCTGTCCAGCAATCACACTTCTATATGCTTTTTAAAGATACAACATGTTAGAATACTGACATTTGCTACATAGCACTAAACCAAAGTGCAGCTGAGGTTTAAGGGAATGTCAAACGTTTTTATATGTTTACGAACAAAAGTATTGAATACATTTAAATGTAGGAGCGGGTTAAAAAGTCAGAGGATTCCTCCTATTGCGATCAATATAAGGTTCAATATGAATATTAACCTGGACCAAAGTTATAAATCTACTGGTGTGACTGGATATCAGCTGAAAGACTAAAAAGGCACACTTAAAAAAGAACACAAACCTACAAAATGATATCAAATGTATCTAAATGTATTATTTGCAAAGCGCAACGCTGATTGTTATGCCCTAAAATGTATAAAAAGATTATTAAAAAGAACATCACGTGTCTATCATGTCTGTCTACCACCTGTCAGGATTGTGGTATTGTATTTCCTCTGACTGGAATTCCCATCGCTGTATGAACATGAAGTAACATTGGATGTGGTTGTTCACTGCATCTTGTGACGTTTTACTCAGCTTAGTGTTGGGGTGGTGATGCACACAGTCTCTTAATGTTGAAACACGTATGAAGAGATGGCCTGGTGCAGTAGACTTTATATTCTTGATTACTGTTACTTTTATTTATGTATCTTTTGTTATTCATGTTTTATTATCTTTGCTTTTAAATGAGTGTTTTTAAAGGCCATTTTATAATATGTTTCTTAATGTCTTCCATTTTTGTAAAGCACTTCGAATTGCCTTGTGTTGAAAGGTGCTATATAAATAAACTTGCCTTGCCTTGAATACATTGAGTTTATAGATTATAGGTCAAAAACAAGTTTGTTTCTTATACATGGTTTGCCATCTCTGCATCAAAGTATACATCTAGCAGTAGTCCCGACAGAGATGACTCGAATACTTTGATTTCTATTCTGGTACTATTGGTATTCTTCTGTAGAAAAGGCTGGTTCTCACAGTCTGATAGTGTTCAATGTTTCAGGTCTCTGCAGAGGCAGATTTGTGATTATCTTTGAGGGTTTCCTGGTTTCAAGTGTGGAGGCGTGTATACAAAGTGTCGTAAGATTGTTTTTCCCTCTTGTATTCAGAGGTAAAACATTTTAATTATGATGTTTTTGGAAGACTGTTTGAACTTTAAACGCAGTTAACAGATACATGCTTTTGAAGTGGAATTGATCAGAGAGACAGTTGACACGTATGTTTGAAGTAGTTTTCGTTTTTTGGGAAGCCAAAACCCTTTTTATGCAAAGGAAGCTGGCAGCTATACTGCCACCTACTGTTGTGAGTGACTGAACTGAGGCCTGGGGCTTCTGTAAGTAAACCGGTTGAAACACAAATCGTTTTTAATAAACAAACGTTGTAGCATTTTTACATATTGATGATAAACATTAGAATAAAGAGATTATGAGCATGTAAAATACAAAAACAATGCTGCACAGGCACTTTGTCATCTTTTGTGAAAAGATTGTGTGTTTATTTTGCATATATTATACAGTTCAATGTGTGGATTTAGAGTATTTATGTGTAAAAAACAAACAAACACAATAGTCAAGGACGTTTGGCATCTGATTTATTTATTTAACTTAAATATCACAAAATGATTTGGCAGTGATATTACCATTGCATTATCCATTTGTATGGCTGAGGACTCTTAGGCGTAAATAAAAAGGTAAAATTGTTTCTAAAATAATTTCCAAACCCCTGCAATTGAAATCATGACAAAAAATCACAAATTCATCCACATTCGAACTTAACATTTGGCCTGCAGGCACAAACCAACAACCAAACTACCCTGTTTACATTCACCGAAGAAGCCTCTCTGAAATGTTTTCTTATTTGGACTCTACAAATGTTTGTAAATGGTGCAATACAAACTTGTATAAGGGTGACACCAAGGGACATTTTAAGACATGATTTTGGCATAATTATTGTTTAAGACTAAACAAACCTCATGTGTATCTTTCTTTTTGAAGGAAAAAAGTACAACACAGACACTGACGAAAGCACACACACACACCTCATGTACAAATAGACAGCCCACAACATTAAAGCCCCTTTAGAGCATATGCAAGATCAAGAGGAAAAACAAAGTGAATGACATGGACATGCTATGATTTCCACTGGAAGAGCCAGCCAGTTTCTAACATTATACCTGCAGTAAAAGTGGACATGTTGAGGAACATTTGTTGTTTACAAGTGTGTTTATAGAAAGACATCTGTAAGTCAGTCACGGGACCTGCCACAATTTATAGCATCTACAGGGAAGCAAAAGACACAACTCATATCTGCAAAAAAGAGTTGAGAGACTGAGATGAGAGGGGAAAAGAGAACATACAAACACACACAAACACATGCACACAAGATGGGGATATTTCACTCTAGGAGGCGGTGAACTTTCTGAGTGTGATGACGATGAGGGCGAGGAGGACAGAAGCTCCTAAGAAGACGGCTATAACAATGGCTGTGATGGCCCCTGGCCCCAGCACCCCTGCACACACAAACACATGGTTTTAATCATTTGTTTACATATAATTGAAATACATTTGGTGTATAAAGTGATGATTTTTACATTGTTCGTCGAGCAGGTCCGGAGAGTGTGTGTTGTCCTCGTAGTCGAAGGTGAAGGACTGCTCCGTCGTGTCATGGTTAGGGTCTTTGGTGGTCACGTCACTGGGTGGTTCTCCTGACGTGGTGTCCTGGGTGTCTCTGATTGATAAGTCTGCAACTGTCTCTGCAGACCAAAAGGAAAACTAAATTCCACTTGTGCTTGTTTTAAAAGGGATGTTTAGATTCTTTAAAATAGCGTTTAATGACGTCATTACCCATGGTCAGTACCAACAGTATATGGGGGCCATCATGACCATCATTTGGAAAAACAGAGAGAAGACATGGGAGCTTGTGTACTTCTGTAGACAGGGATAGCAGCAGATTGTATTCAAGCTCCCTAAAGAAAGGCCCATGCTTTTGCTAATAGTATTTTTACATCACAAAAATGGGAATTGATTGTCTAACTAAAACTAACTAATTGAAGCAGCAGGTTACCAGCATCTCCTTTGTTCTTTGAGTTAAAATTACCTTTTTTGTTGAAGGAGTCTGGTGGCTTTGACCAGATATTGCTGATCTCACCATTTGAACAAACTGTCACAGCAATGTAAAGCAGTGAAAATATTTTAAATATAGTGTTCCACACGTAAACTGACAATCTTTTCAATGGGCTAAAAATATATTTTGATGACGTCCCTATTCACAGCAGTGCAATGCTTTGCAACCATGCTGGTACTACTGTCTGTTTTTCCAAACTCAGGGAGTGCTAACTGCCATGTACTGTTGATAATACCCCATTCAAACAATATCTCAACCATATCTTAAGCATGGCTGATCTACAAGCAGTCACTTAATCCGTGTCCAGTATCATTTTACTGTATGTTTTCTAGCGGTAATAATTTCACTGACGACGCAAACAGCTTTGCTAATGACTCTATTTGACTATTTTCTGGATGTGGAGGCCTCTGGGATGCAGGGCTGCACACATGGCCCCGTCTGTAATCACCCCAACAGCCTCTCTCTGTCTCACTGGGCTAACGGCTGAGGCTTACGCATAAGGATGTCTTTGTAGAGGATGAACATTTTGACCGTTTAAGCTACGGTTGCCTTTTAAAATATTTCAAGGTTTCAACAAAGTTTGTCTATTGTCTAAACAAATCCTTAAACCGTAATGATCCAAACGGAGTAGTAGATATGTTTTGCTTTAGCAGGAGAGGCAGTTGTTTGTGTATGAGGCTCAGCTCGTGTACAACTCTCTGTGCCAATTATCCTCTCTTCTCTTTCCATCCCAAATTGTCCTCTGACATTCTTCCCATCTGAGCATGAAGTTACCCTGAGACTTTTCACACCTCTGCAGTAGCCAAAGAAACAAGGTTGCTTTCTGGGCCACATTTCTGTTTCCTAACACGACTTAGTGCTGACAAACCACCAAAATAACGATTGTCGTAGACATCTTTATGGTAACTGACAGCTGTATAGCTTTTCTTTTGAAATCAAGAGGAACAGGGGAAAATGTCATCTTCACCTCCCCACAAAAAACCCACACACTCACTGATTCTCTTAACCTATCCTCAACTCTACACATAAACAAAACCATAATCCAAACATATTTACACTCAGTTTATTTAACATAAACATACTTTGTAGCCTCTGACACCCTTGGTAAACTTTACCCTGCTTCACATCTTTCTTCCTCTTTTTCTTCTGCCATTGTCAAAGGAGAGTCTTAGTACCTTATTTCACGTCCATATGATAAAATCTTTTAAGTTTAAAACATAAGCATGTTAGCTGCGGTATAATTCTGATATGCTCTTCTGATGTGAGTATTTTGATGCTGCTGTGTTGACTGAGTCGTGTGCAGCTTCCTGTCCTGTTGCTGGCTGGAGGTTTGGAGGCCCGGGCCTCTGGCCAGCTCAGCCATCAATGAGGCCTTCAGCCGAGGGCACAAAAGGCAGCTTGTGCGGCCATGGAGGGCGGCGGGCTTCAACCAGTAACAACCGGCCAGGCCCAAACCGGCACCGGCTGGGTACGGGATGTCAAACAAACTTGTTTATTAAATAGCCCCTGTGTGTAAAAGGCTGTGCCCTCTGGACAGCTTGATTTAATAGGAAGGCAAAAATAATAACATGATGTTTTCCGTTGCTGTTTGTTTCCACACGAAGGAGTTCACTCAGGCTTACAATTTCTGTTTAAAGCATTAACATAACTGAGGCCTCAAGGAAAAAAAACATAATTCTGGTCAGCTGACAACTAGCTACTCGGTCAGTGGAAACTTTTTTGGCTGATGTACCCCACAGCTGAGCTACCTTCATCATCAATTACCCCTTCATCATCATTTTCATCATCCATCAAGTTGTGTGTCACTATGGGTTTAATAGGCTATGTTTATATTTTATTATGAATAATTGTAACAAATTATTCTTCTTTTTTTAATGTAGGCCTACTTCTTATCCATTTACGTAAGCTACTTGTTGATAATTGTGTATTCTTCACTTCTAGCTATCTGTTGCTAACTGTTTATTCCTCACTTCTAGCTACCTGTAGCAAACTGTATCTCTCACCTCTAGCTACCTGTAGCAAACTGTGTATCCCTCCCTTCTAGTAACTGTTACTAACTGTGTATCCCTCACTTCTAGCTAACTGTTGCTAACTGTTTACCCCTCACTTCTAGCTAACTTTTGCTAATTGTTTATCTATAGCTAACTGTTTTCTTCATTCATTACTTTTTAGCTAACTATTCTCCACCACTTTAAGCGAACAGTTGCTAACTGTTAATTCATTTTTTTTAGCTAACTGTTTTTCCCATTATTTCTAGCTTACAATTTATCAATTAGTTATTTTGCTAAATTTGTATCCCGTACCTTTGGAAAAATGGGTATCCGTTACTTTTAGGTAACTATTTTGTTGCTAGCTTAGCTACTATTGTGTTCTACTGCAACACATTGCTTAATTTTTTACACAGGTATGGCAGCTTAGTAATTGTATATTTATTAAAGATTAGTTTCCCACAAAGTGTGTAATCTTGTTTTCATTTTAATTGTCTGTAAACATATTTTTTATCACAATTTAGCTTTTCCTTTTTCATGTATCACCACTACACAGGTATCCCCCAGGATACGGTAAGGATTACCTTTGCCTAGGAATCATTGCACACTTTTTGAGTCACACCTTTTAAAGATGACTAAGTGTCAATCAAGAACCCTCTATACGCAAGACTCTGAGTCTAGACTCATAAATGCCTGGCAGACTGTAAGGGAGGTTAATTTCAGACACTGAAAACACAGAAGGCCATTTGTTGGTAGACCTCTTCAGTCAGGATTTCACACCAGCCGGAGAGATGACAAAACGCGGATACGTGTGTGTGAAAGACAACCTGGCCAAGCAACTTAAACCGCGGAGGACGCAGCTCAAACATGACATAGATGGACTTATGTGTCCTTGCTTCACCTTTTTTTTTACTTTTAGGGGATTTTCCGTTGTAAAATATGTATGAAATAAGGAAGAGTTAGGTTACAAAACTAGTGATGAACCCTTCTCTGTATTGTAGTACAATGCTCAGATGTTATTCTGGTTTAGTCACTGGATTGGTTGTTGATGTCGTCAAGATTGCTGGCTCTAGTTGAAATCATCACATACTCTACATTTCAACAACAGACAGATAAGAAGCAGCTGCAGAGTGTAGACTCCATGTGAAGCAGAACACAGTCATCCTTAAAAACATTTCACTTGGCTGTGTTTAAAGAGTGTGAGACATTAAAAACACAGTTTCACATTAAATTGTACAAAGCCAACAGAGAATACAAGATATTTTTAGAAAGGCGAAGGCAGGTCATGGCACCTCAATGTTAGAAACGCTGACATTGTGTTTGGCACAAAGACTTTCTTTTTGGCACAAGGGGACAGTAATGTTTTTTTTTCACAGGACAGGGTGGACATGCTCGACTTTGCCCTCTCAACCTTTACTGTGACCTTTGGGCCTGAGAGCCCTGCTACAGTGTACGCTTTTTTTCAAGTATATTTGAGAGATGTTGCAAAAAGGAACAGAAAAATACAGTAAGTGAAAGTGAAAGACCCAGTGACAGGGCTGATCTCTCAAATCGTAAAGGGAAACACGGGTTCTGCATGGGCGGGGAGAGTAACATCTCATTTTCTGAATGTTAGCTATTCTATCTCAAAGCCAGGGAGTAATATAAAACTTGTGATGTCATCAAGTATAACGTCTGGATCTGCTCCATCAACGATACATTTTTTAATTGTTGTTTTTTTCTGATAACTTTTTTTATTGATACTGTTCTTAGTTGTGAAATAAAATCTCCATTAACTCAGAACATTCCCCTGGGTGCTCTGTGTCATCTATAACATATTTCCTAATCCATTTTATATGGAAAATATCCTCAAATGTGACATCACATATTTTAGTTTTATCACTAGTGTTTGGATTTAGTAGTCATTATTTTGTTCACTCACAGGAATAATATGTATTTTGAAAATTGGCAATGTTCCTTTAAATATGAACGTGTTCTTTAAATAGCACTTGTGCAGAAAACCAGTTGATGTGAATAAATGTTAAGAGATGAACACATTGAATCTGCTTCTTACTACTATCTCCCAAATATCTCTACATACATGAAATACATTCCACATATGTTGACGTTTCACTACCTCGAACGGATATTGCATAGAACCACTTCAACCTCATAGCTGGAGTCAGAGGGCGGCAGCTATTTGAGTTTGTATGAACATCAGGGATCATGAAAGCCACTGAATCATCCTGTTTGTCAAAGAGCAGCTTTCACAGCTCAGAGTCTCAAAGAGTCCCAACAACTGCATCATTTACATCGGGCTGCACGCTCACACATCCAGGCCTGTGAACGTGTGTGTGTGTGTGTGTATTTGTTTTTGTGTGTTTGTGGAAAAAGAGGGCAAAAATGACACGTACACACACATCTTTGATTTGATACCTACAGGGGCGCAAACCCAGCCCATGAGTCACCCTAAACAACGATAGAGGTTAAGAATATCAAACCTTATACTAAAAATGTTTTGATGTTGTGGTATTTGTTCGTTTTTTTTCTTTCAATAAATCAGACTCAGGTCTTCTTGTTTCTTCTTTTACCATAATTAGTTGTAGCATACACAGGTAAAGCTGCAAACCTGTCAGCCAACCACAAAGACAAAATACACATATCAATCAGACTCAAAAAGTGGTTTACCTGTGTGTACAAAGGCTACAAAGAGGCCGAGGAGCACCAGGAGGAGGAATCTGCGGATGCTGCTGCTGTGAATCATGGTGGCTGCGAGGGACAAGATGTGCCTTTTTCCAGAACTCCTCGAACTTCAAGATTGGCTGACCCTGGAAGAGGAGCAAGAGAAGAGTACAGGAGAGCGCAGCTGGGGGAGAGGTAGGCTACTGAGGGGTGAGAGAAGGGGTGGGACTAGGTGTGCACAGGACTGTCTGGACAGTGTGGACTTTGTGAGGACATCATCGCAGGGCCCACCCACTCCACACTACTCCGGCTACATAGCTGGGTGTTCGGTGTAAACATTCGGCAACCGCTGACCTTGACCAGGTCACATCACAAAGGTCTCAGCAAAGAAAAGATGGCAGTGATGGAAGTATTGAGATCTAAAAGTAACACAAATCCAAAAGGTTTTAGTAGCAGAAACTTGCAGTTTCAAAAGAAAACAAGATATAGAATGAATGCATTATATTATTGGATTAGCGTAACTGACGCATTGGGTTGAACCGAATGTCACTTTCTTTTTTACATTGAAAGCTTATATTTAGATGTTGGAATAAAGCTTTAAATGTCTGTCGTCATCTTCCGTTGCCATTTTAAAAAGTGTGTATTTGGAATTAACTTTTAAATGAACATAACTCGTCAGTGCATGCGGCAAGCTAGAGGGTGAGCGCAGTGAAACGTGTGTTTATTTTCCTTTAAAAGGGTTAACGCCAACAAATATAGAATGAAGGACAATATATAAGAAATAACATTTTGTGAATGTCGTTAAAGATACCGGTTATCTTTTTCTATAGATTTCGACTTTTGTACTGTACTATGCTTTAGAGTTCATTGAAATTGTTGGTTTACACAAGTGAGAAACAATCCTACTCAGCCACAACTGTAATATAAAACTTGTGATATTAGTATTCATAGTCTTTATCTGCACCTGTGCAAAGAACCACATTTAAGTAGAATTGATAACCAAATAAGAAAGAAGTTGCGCAGAATTTAAATGTCAGTTATGAAAGTTTCCAAGGTTTGAAGTATTCGGTAGAGCCCTGCTAACGCAACAATATTTTTAAAAGGGTGCTCCTGCAAAATGAGTATAGCATTTCTAAAAAGCTGGGGAGCTCAGAAGAGACAGATAAACATATTAAAGTTGTAGGATTTAAATAACTTGTCTTCAGGCTACAGAAACGGTCAGCTTACATCCCATGAACATTACTATAGCTGTTATAAGAAAAGAAGTGAAGTATATATTACAATATTTGCCATTAAATTGAGGTACAGATTCCCAATGGTACTTTAAATAATGTACTAGCTTTAACTTGTGATCCAGGAATTAAGTCAAGGGTGTCTTTCAGCTAGAGAGCAATTTGTCTAAAAAAAACAAGGGACTGATTTGGCAGTTAATCTTCTGCATTGGGTCTGTTCACACAAACATAACTGAAAGATGGAAATAACAGTCAGCAGAATATATGTAGCAATTCACTGTGACCAACGCATGTTACATAAAATTACTCATTAAAAAAGTATTTCTTTTCGAGGGATTTAAATGATCTTTAGTCTATTACCACTGTGAATGCTGATAGCTGGCTTCAATCTATTCTATTTACAGCTTTTCATTTCCTCTATACCTTTGCGACTCTTTGAAATGTGTCAGTGTGAGAGTGAGTGTGGGTGAATTGAATGAATACTGCACAAGTGTGTTGTTTTCTGAATAGCTCAGACAGAGGTGTGAACAGCCCACACATAAGACCGTTTTATTGTTTCATACCACAATAAAAAAAAAAGTATGACTCCAGCAGTTCTTTTTCATATATTATAATACAGATGCAGAATTGAAAGTTTATTCTTTAAACAGCCTAGTATTTTACAAGAAATAGATAACTACTTGGAACTTTTGATATGTCCTTAAAACAGGACATAAGTGGCCACGAATCCTTGGGCTCTACTTTTGCCGTCATTACCCATGAACACCCAGCAGAAAACAGGGAGGGGAAAGAGAAGGAGGGGATTAAAGTGAAGGGACAAAACTTTCAATAAATAAAACAAAAGGATATAATCTCTAACCTTTCCCATTATACCCCAACCACCCTTCCCATATATCCACACATTTAAAAAAAAAAAATCCTATTAAATGGAGGCCAAATTGGTAATTTGAAGTCACTTTGAATTTTAGGACACGATCCGGGAACTACTAGCTGAAGCCCAACAGACATCGATGCTCCAGCAAACTTTTTCCAGAAAGTCAAGTTGCTCTGGGCTGGTCGGATGTTTCACTGGCCACTTTGCTCCAGTCCATGTCATCAGATTATAGGTCCGAAAGCCAAAGGAAAAACACACCCTGCCTCAAGAGATGACTGTTGGTTCACAATCTGAAATTTAAAGAGGGATTACCAGAGTACATCTGATAAATGTGAAACTGAAAATAAAAAGGTGAATGTTGTGGAAGCAGTCGGGGGGGGCAGTGTCAGAGGGGGTTCGGGTAAAACGGCTGCTGTTCAAAACGGAAACAGTCAGTGGGGTTCGCTTGGCTGCAGTCCCTTAAAAGTCCTCCAAAGTCTCAATCTCTCCCATATTCAGTCTCTCAGATGAGGCATTCACAGAAAAACCTGAACAAGAAAAAAAGTGAGTTAGCAATGACACGTCGGCAGGTTTTTCAGACGTAGCACACTGGTGTTAGCTCTTACCTAGGAGGCTGGGGTCTGCGCGGACCATCTTCTGCTTCTTTTTCTTTTTCCCTGAGGTGACGGTCTCAAAGCGTTGCTGCTGGGCGCTCGTATGGTTGGACTGATACACCGACGATGATCCACCCCATACAGAATCCTGCTGGACAGACAGACATGCACATTTAAAAAGACTGAAGCTCTGGGCGAGATGTTACCACTTGACTTAATGTGGTGGCAGCAAAAAATGATGATGACGATTATTCACATAGACCGAGCTGGGTTGATGATTATTCCAGTTATATGGAGAGTGATTTAATCGTACAATGAATACAAACACAACATTCCTGCCATTGGATGACACGGGAGAAAACGGAAACATTGTGGTGCAAATTAGATTAGTGATACACACCTAAATATTGCCCTGTTAACACGTTATCAAAGTATATGATACGCATCTAGATCGCTTATACAAGAGGAACACATGGACATGTTTAGTTTTCATTCCCATTAGGTAACAAGGAATAAGCGGCGCAATTACATATTTTGGGGCTGATCCAAGGGGGTGACGTAGGGAGGGAGTCACTGGGTGAAATGTAAATAACAGTTGTGGCTGATGGAGAATGACAGCAAAACTACGTCAGAGGTATGTTGCTCTGATCATGCAAGTCAGAAATATCCCATAGTACAATCTATTTTTGGGGCGGCAAGAGGGACAGACGTCTCTATTTGTGAACACAAGACCATCAGTTTCAGTCTGGCTCACCTGCTGCTGCTGCTGCTGCTGCTGCTGCTTGAGGGCTTGCTGTTGGTTCTGCGGTGCCGGTTTCTGTTGGTTAGCGTTCTGTTTGGCACGTCGTTCGATGAACTGCTTGGCAAAGTCCTTGGCCTCGGGAGTGTCCCCCAGATAGGCCCGGACGTAGTCGTGCACCTCATACGGAGAGTCCACTTCTTTCAGGAAGGAAGCAAACGTGGGAACTGGCAGGGAGACAGACGGAGAATATTTGTGAGTTTGGCTTCAAGGAATGGTTTTTCCAATAGTTGTAGGTGGACTGCCGTTGAAAGTATATTTTGAAAGTCTCACCATCCAAATTGTTGGCCGTGTTGAGGGTGTGCAGGGTTTGCTCACACCATTGCATGAAGGAGTCCTGCTGGCTCTTATTGACCCCTTGAAACAACTTTACCAACTTCTCCTCCTCCTCTTCGGCTTTCTTATTGACCCGCCCACTCACAGAGTTACTTAACGTGTACACAAAAAGGCAGGAGGAAGACAAAAAGAAGTCATTAGGATCTGTGTATTACTCATATCCATACATGGTTAGTCATGCAGGAGGTTGTGACTAACAAAGGTTCTTGTTGGCCTTCTTATTAAATACCTGAGGTTGGCGTTGCCTTTGTTGTTTTTCTGCGTGCTGGCTTTCTTGGTTGGAGGCGGTTGCTGCACGGCCTCTTTCACAGCCTCATCCCAGAAGCCCAAGTTAGAGTTGTTTGTGTCGCCCCAGATGCTGCTGGAGTCCGAGCCCCAGTTAGTGGAGGGGCTCGTGTTCATGGAGCCCCAAACTGAGCTACTCAGAGACGACGTCTGTGAAGAGAGCAAGGCAATGTTACCGACAGTGATTGGCTCATACAAACGTAACAAAATGCACATCACAATTTCTTTAAACCCAAGGTGTTCCTTTCCTAAGTCTGGCATTTGTATTCAAATAAATCCTGAAATAATGATCTATTACAAAAAGATATGAGGATAAATGTTAGGCTGGCCTCTGGCCCTTTTATTTATTTTGCAAAATACTTGGTTATTAAAAATATTAAATCTTTTTGATGATCATTTGAATTTCTATCAGATTTGTGTAGTGAAATATTGGCTATTCTGTCTCTTAAGCAGCTATTTCTTATATTAAGAAGCTGCTCAGAGTAACCAAGCTTTCATGACCAAACGTTAGTTACAAAATAAATATTTTGGACACGTACATTTGTTATACCCTCCTTTAGCTGATAAGACAAAAGTGCAAAATTGGTCTCTTACAGTTTTGTTTTGACTGCGGCTCTGCTGTGGGACGATGGGCTGTGGTTGCGGCTGCTGCTGTGGCTGCTGTTGTTGTTGTTGTTGTTGCTGCTGTTGCTGCTGTGGCTGTGGTGGCGGCTGCTCCTGCCGCTGTTTCATCTGCTGGGCTTCCTCCCTCTGAATCTCCAGCAGCGACTTGGTGGCAGCCGGCTGTGTGGCCACACTGCCCCAGCTAGACATCTTGGCCTGGGGCTGCTGAGCCAGATGCAGGGCCTGCTGCTGCTGGAGCTTCAGCATCTCCTGCTGCTGGCGTCGCTGCTGTGGGGGGGAGGAGGGATAAATAGGACACGAGTTAGTGTGCGTAAAAACAACACTTGGAGAGATGAAAAGGAAATGGCTGCCGTCTTTACCTCTTCTCGCGTCTGTCGTTCTCTCTCCTCTTCCAGTTTCTGGATCTCTGCCAGCGACAGGGCGCTCTGGTTCTGGTTCACAGCGCTGACCGACGACTGCTGGCCCCACTTTGAGGAGGACGGAAGCTGCAGAGCAGGACGATTTATTTAATGACCTTGTTTATATTTTGAACTGTCCATTTTGCATCCTCTGTGCCGTTACCTTCATCTGTGCGAGCTGCTGCTGCTGCTGCTGCTGCTGCAGCCTCCTGAGCGCCTCCTGCTGCTGCTGCCTCTGTCTCTGCTGCTCCTGCTGCCTCTGGGCCTCCTGCTCTCTCCTCTTCTGCTCCTCCAGTTGTTGTTGTGCTAAAACAGCCGCAGCAGCTGCTGCCTCTTCCTCTGCTCGCTTCTCCTCCTCACGCCTCCTCAGTGCTTCTAGTTCCTCCTGCTTTCTGCGCTCATCCTCCTGAGAAGAGGAGAACACCTTTCTATTTAGAGAGATTTCATCAATCCAGAAAGGAGGTAGGAAGTGTGTGACATGTTTTCTTTACCTGTTTGCGAAGGAACTCTTCTCGTTTCCTTCTCTCCTCCTCTTCCCTCCTCCTCTCTTCTAATCTACGGAGAGTTTCCTCTTGTGCCATTCTCTCCTCTTCCTCTTTCTGCCTGCGTTGTGCCTCATCTTGCTCTCGCTCCCGTCTTAATGCTTCCTCCTAACGAATCACAACACAGTCAGTCATCACAGAAAGTTGCCTCTGGATAAAGAAGTAGCTCTAAGGAATGAAGTCCTTCAGATTGACATCGTGAGAAAGCTCCACCTGTTTGTGCCGTGCCAGCTCCTCTTCTGCCAAGGACTTGCGTTCTTCCTCCTGTCGCGCCCTCAGGGCCTCTTCTAGACGTTTCCTCTCCTCTTCCTCCCTTTTTGCTCTCATTTCTGAATCACGCCTTTCCAACTCCAACTGTGGGATGATACAAGAAAATGATTATGGTAGGGAACATTTTCCACCAATCCTATATCTTAACTCATACTTCAACTTGTCTTTCGAAACAAGAAACTAGAGTTTTGAGCCTTAAAAATTCCAAAACAAGATAATTCAATCATGAGCAGCGTTTCCGCCAGGCGGGCGTCTTGCCGTCATTTGAGGCCCTTACGGCCCGTCCACACTATAGCTTCAAAAATATCTTGGAGGTGGGCGTGTCTGAAGCTTGGGGATTTTATTCGAGCACCGCGACCAACAACCAATCACATGAATGTCCCGCCCCCGGCATACAAAGCAAAAAAACCCGGGGATTTTTTTTAATATATATATATATTTTTTTTTATATAAACTCCCCAAACAGGCGAAAACCTACCAGTTTCACCCACTGTCTCTGCCACCTCCCTCCATGCCTGCTTCCTCCGGTTTGTATCCCGGTAAATAGTTGTGGTCGTTAAGAACCGGGTGATTTGCTACCGTAATTTCTCGTTTGGAATATGAGGAAATGAACTGCGGTCTGGCTCTCCCAGCTTGCACGCGGTTTGATTGGCTAGCGCTTGAACTGTCAGATTCATAAACGGATTTGATTGGCTGACGCTGGCTCTCCGGCTTCCAGAAGTGAACATTGTTTAACTGCGAAGCCTGAACGCCAGAAGCTCCGCTCGGCTACCACATTCAGTTCGGCGGAAAACGAGGCAACGTGACGTCAATCCCCATTCAAAGTGAATGGGCAGACGCGTTGGAAACCATGTGTTGAAGTTGTGGTAGCTGTAGTGTGGACGGGCCGTTATCAGCTCGGGACGCCATGAACTCGGAGCAAGGCATCCAAAAAACAATAAAAATTTGAGGTGAAGATCCCGCGGAGGAGTTTGCCTAACTCGCGGTTGAACCAGTCTCTCTTACAAAACGAAAAGGAAAAAGGAACATCCCTCCAGTTGGAGGGCAAAGGAGCTGGTGGGAGTTCCTTTCGCCGCCTGCAAAGTGTAGACTTCCCTAGCGTACGAAACCAAACACAAGACCAAGCGACACACATAGCCTTACAGGGAGAAGAGTAAAGTTGTATCTAAAAAACGACAACACACCCCCACAGACCAAAAATCCACCACCCACACCCACACCACACACCCAACCGCCCACAAGTAGGGCACTTCTCCACCTAGGAGGATCGGAGGAACACTCACAATATGAAAAAAAAAAAAATATAGACAATATATTACATACAACGACGCAGGAACATAACAACTTTGACTTACAACACACATACACGAAGGAACCAAAACAACACAATACAAAAAAGGGATCGAATTAAAACCAAACCGCGAACCTACACTACCCACCTTTAACGAACAACATGAGGCATTGCACCTGCTGTAACACGACATCATTCTTATTGGCTCTCATGCGATTAGAAAGAAGAAAACGATATTATAATATTCAAGGCGAAACCACTGTTGGGCACTTGTTGAACGTTGGTGTACAGGAAGCCTGAGAGGACGATTCTGCATTTCCCAAACAGACCAGTATCGGGTACAGGACGGGGGGCGGGTCACAGGAGGGAGGGGCTTCCGACGCTCGAAAAACATGTTCATAAAGAAGGCTGCCAACTTAAAAGGCATTATGTGACTCTTTTTCAGACCTCCCTTATGATCAACCCATTTGAAAGAAGATTATTTTAGATAAATATTAAATACGTCCATCTAAAAAAATGATTTAGTCCAGTTTGTCAAGAACCCTTTCCTGACAATGGAGAAATTGTCTTTATTTAAACATGGGAGATGAACATTTGGGCCCATTTTAAGTGAATTCCTCGTCACTAAAAAAAAATGTGTTGATACCAAAGGGCTCGACATAAAGGACTGCCCGATGGCCCCGGCCATCTATATTTAGCTCGGGCATGAAGGCTCAACCTGCTGGTTGCCCGATCGGGCAATCTATTATGCCAGTATCCATTCAGCTCGCGGATCCAGTAAGGAAGTAACCCAACCAGAAAACTAAACATATCTAATACTAGTTACGGTAGTTGGAGAGGTAGATTAAAATAGCTACGTGTGGATATTCTAAACCTGAAGTGGTGTGTTTTGGTTCGCTCACCGCTGCATGTGATCATGCAGCGCGCGTGTCGACGTCGTCAGCACCAGCTGATCTCCTCTCCCGTCAGATTAGACTTCACTTCGCGTTTAATGTCCATATCGATCAGATCCGACCTAGTTCTAGCTAATGATATGACACTGCTTATTAAAGAAACGTGACCTAAAAATCAAGTGTCGCTATGCAACCGGTGAGGCCACAAAAGTATAGCCGCTAGCATATGCATTTGTTTACATGCCTACGGGAACCCCGAGGGCATTACCAACAGGATCACGCACATCAATCCATACAGCACCATAATCTTTCTCCACATTGAAGTTCGTAGCACATGTTAGGAATGGGACCCTACTCTTTGTCTGTCAGCATATCCTTCTTGTCTGTCACCAATCAGTGGCGCAACCCTGAAGCGGTACTTCCGGCGCTCCAGGCGAAATTATTTTGACCAAAGAGATTTAGATTTGCTGCTAACGGGAACTCTGACGTCGCCATTGTGTGTGCTTCGGCGGATGCACATCGGCTGTCGGTCAGCTTCTGGATGAGGAGGCATTCCTTCGACCAACTTACAGTAGATAACATTACAAACATTTTTAACAGGGGCCATAATAGCGTAAATAATGTTTGTTTTGGCAGTTATAGCTGCATGTAATGTTTTCTACTTTTTTACATCTGGGAAGGCATTTGCCTTCAACAGATGGAAAGTGTCTTGACCAACAACTTAAGTATTTATTATAGCTATGCAGGGCATGCAAGCGAGCAAACACAAACAAGTGAACTGAAGAATACAATTGAAAATGTAATATTGTGGTGGTTCATCTTATAATTCAGACTATAGAATGCACCAGACAGCATCTAAGACCTGCAAAAATCTAAATGTTCTAGGGGGAGGCCCCCCAAACCCTTCGTGCGTCATTTCGTCCGCGCGCATTTTTCAGGGCAATCTCTATTGGGCTCAGGGCCATCTGTAAATTAGCTTAGATGGCCCACAGGGCCATCTCCCAAAATCCTTAATGTCATGCACTGGATACTCTTAATATATCATATTGACAATACTCTCCTAATGCTTTCCCTTTCACAAGTGTTCGTGCATTACAGTTGTACTACTGTGATAAGCCATTTCCAATTTACAGAGCCACATTGTTGGGCTCCGTCTAAATGACTCAACGATTTGAACGAGTGCAGCAACACTTCTTACAGCCCATTATGCAAAATGATGTACATGATGATGTCCAAGCCCTAATAATACATGTAAGGCAAGATTTCTAATCACTTAACCACAGGTGCAGATGCATTAAGAGGTAGGGTACCAACCTCAGCTTGAGGGTCTGGTATTGCTGTAGAAGCAGGTTGATCTGCTGTTGGTGTTGCTGCTGCTGTTGAAGAGGAGCCGAGTTCAGAGTTTTCTGCTGAGCCAGCGCCTGAGCATACTGCTGCCTGAACATTGGAGGACAAATGGATGAGATCATTGAGACAAACGTTTACATGATTATAGACAAATAATGTACTGTATGTTCAGTTCCTATATGCATTCATGTGATTTAGTTGTAGTAATATATCATTTACAATTGTATTATGCGGCAATTTTGATTCATGAAGCATGGATCAACTCTATTCCTGTATTAAGTCCAGGAAGTGAAGTAGTTTAAGGCGTGTGTATTTGTTATCGTCAGAATGAAACAAAAGCAGTCGGGTTAGATGTGAGTGGTGTACCTGAGGAGGTATTGATATTGGAGCTGCTGTAACTGGTAGAGGTTGAGAGCAGTGAGCTCCTGCTGCCTCTTCAACCTCTCCTGATCACCTTCAGCCTGCATTACATAAGACAGGATCAATCATAGCCGTTAACAGCAAAAGGTAGATAGAAACAAACAAGTTTAGAACTGCATATCCAAATGTGCTAAAAGCTAATAGTGGCCTTTTCCCATTCAACCAAGGCTACAATTGCCACTACTAAATATAATTTTCAAACGGAGTGATTTCATCTTCAATAAACCAATCGGTTTGACCGTGTTGCTATGGAGATCATGCTAACAAAGGATTACAGTGTGCAGTAGTTTAACTTTGGGTGCCAATATCGTTAAAAGGATCGAGGACACAGACACTAAATTACTTTAGAAAACAGAAAGCAGTTATATCTGCAAGCTGTAAATGTTGCCACCTCAAAGAGAACATCTCAATTGCATCACAACAAACGTTTACAAAATGCATCAAGTGAAGTGAAGAGAGGAAGGGTCTTAAAAGTACATGAAATATTACCCCGACACATTTTACTGGCAAAAAGTGTGGACTATCACACCCCCTGCTGGCTAGTACTGGCAACTAGTGCTGAGAACAAAGCAAACCTTTGGACATAGTGAATGAAACCGGACACATATCAAACATTTACCTGTAGAGGAGGTGGTGCTGGGCCAGGTGTGAACGGTACTCTCCCCCATATCTTTATTATGTCCCCCAGTGCTTGAAACACCTCGTCACACCCTCTTTTGACCAAGAGAGACATGGTGAAGTAACCGGCCTGAAACCACTCCGTCATCTCTGGGTTGCTGAATGGTCCTGAGAGAGAACAAAAAAAGCAGCAGAAGAGATTAAGGCGTGGCATTGCAGCTGTTGTGAAAAGAAATATACAGAATGTCGGTTCCATTTTGAGCACATCAAATCTCTCACCCTGTATCTCCCCTTGGGGGTCTTTGTAGAACCATTTGAGAGCGGCCTCGTTGGTGAGCGGAAGGCCTACAGGTTTGGGCTTCTCTGAAGTCTTTACTGTAAGTCTGTCATCATCCACCACACTATCCTGAAGGTATGCTACCATCTTCTCTGCCTCCTGGTCAAACATGGGGGAAAGACAACATTTTAGAAAATAAATTAGATACCCGTCCCCAAAAAAGGGTTAGGACCAAACATAACATGGCTGCTGGTGTTTGGAGTGTTAGTGGACACGGGTTGTCTTTATTGTGTTATGGTCTTCTATGGAATGTATCACATATCACAGTATGCAAAAATAAAGATTAGCCACGCCTCTTATTATTCACAAAATAACCTTTTCGATAAGTACATGATTTTAAGAGATCCTTCGATTCAGTTGGAGATATCTCACTACTGTTTGTGGAATACAGGCTAGTCTGATTTTGACAGATTTTCATGTTAGATGTGCCAACTGACCTGCTCAAAGTGTTTGAGTCTCTCGTCTTCATCTGTGTCGTGTGACACAGCCGTGGGCCTGCCAATAGGTGCCATTAAACTCGAGGAGAAGGACAAAGGATGTTTCATCGCCGCGGGGACCACCATGTGCTTTTGCGATAGCTGGACGCTGGGTGATGGAGCAGATACTTCTGCAAAAACAGCATGAGTTAGATATTAGGTGGTTTTCTTGGTAGGTGTGGATAAATGGTAAAGAAAAAAAAGTCATTTTAAAAAAGGGGAAATGTAAGACTCGAATCCCACCTGCAAGGGTTGTAGAAATGTGGTTCATGGGTAGGGATTCACGCATGCTATTGGACATGGGGACGTGCAGGGGGGCTTTGCAGTTCTCTGGGGGCAGCTCCAGCGGTGACTGCCGTTCAATCGGCCTCTCAGACTCTTCTGTTCTGTTTGGCTGGATCAGGGACCGAGACTGAGGCTCAGAGACCGGAGGGGCTGCAGGTAACGCCTCCTCTGATGCTCTCGAATACTCTATATATTAAAAAAACGAAAAAAAGATTTATAGTAATGCGATGGAGGCCTTGTCTAAAAAAAGATGTGAGTTCTCTTGAGGGATGATGTTGCATTACTAAACAATAAACATGAGGACATAGCTATTTGAGTCACAGAGAGGTGTTTTGTAGCTTCATACCAAATCTCTGTGGTTAGGATTTGCAATGATCTTCTAAATCCTTGCTTGTACATTTAAATATCTGGATCACATTTGATTTCACCTTCATTATGACAACAGTGTTGTAAAGTTACTGCTGAGGGAGTTTCTGAATTTCATATGATATTCATATTAAAAGCCTTTCAAAAACAAAGTTACTTATATTTAGATGGCTTCAATGGAAATGAAAAGGAAAGATTGGAGTTAAAGACACACCTTGAAGCAGGTAGCCTTAGTGCAATGGAAATGCAAATCCCTGCTGTATTGGGCTGATGCGCCGGAGTGAAACCATGTGTAAGGAAAAACAACATATCTGACCTTTTCGTTCTGCATCCGTTTCAATATCTTTGGTCCCTTTGAGCTGACAGTCGTCCTCTTCCAGGCCTTCTTCACACTCTTCCAAGGGTTTGAAGTCCAGCTCTCCCTCCTCCAGAATTGGCTCCTTGGAAGCTTTCTGAATACACAAAAAGAACACAATGACAGCAACTACAAAACTAGTATCCCAAAGAACATTCAGACTTGGCCCCAAAGAGATGATCTGCTCCGTAATAGTGTGGACGAGCCATTTGTGTGAATAAATAGCAAATCAATACTTCATTCAAAAGAAACTCATTGATTTCTTCTCAGGTGTCCTCTAACCTTGAGTGAGAGAAAAGCCCCCGATGAGTCGAAGGTGCCCGCCTCCTCGTCTGCGTCCTCCAGACACCACTCTGGCAGGCTGTCGTCGTCCAGGCTGCCGCTGCCTGATCGCGGCCTCCTGTAGCCGCGCTCGTCTTCTCTGGCATCGAATGGGAAACGACGACGCTGATCTGGGAGTTCCCGCCACCCTGCCGACCGAGGCCCTTCCGCTGAAAAGACAAATAGGTAGCATTTTGAAACAATCATAATCCCCAAATCTACAGTTGCTTCATGAAGATGGCAACAATTAGGCCTGCATTGAATGATTCTATTTCCATAAAACATGTGCCATTAGTTGAAGTATATCCACGCTGACAAACTTTCCATCATACACAAGAAGAAGTTGTGCTTGAAAATACCCCTTCAGTTAGCAGGAGGTACGAATATATTCTGTCGCGCGCTGAAATAATTTGACAGCCCCTACAACAGTTTACAGACTGCACCCTAATCAGTAGCTAACTAAAGAACAAACACAGCAGGTCAACATAAAGCTTCTTTTTTTTAATAAAGAGATATTGGTTAAAGGGTCAGTACTGCCCCCACCTGGGCTCGGGGGGCACCACCGCTCACTCTCCGATCGAAACCCCGCCGGGCACCAGCCCCCCTCATCATCCTCACCATTCTGAGCAGAACGCCAGTTCTCACTCTCTGAACGTGTGAAGTCTTGCTTCCTCGGTAGGCCGGTTACACCGTCTTCATAGTTGACTCGGACTGCAGAGAGTAGTGGGTAGAGGGTTAGTTCAAAGTAAAGCTGTCACTGTTATTCTCAACCACAGCCGTTTACACTTAGTTAAGAAATCTGAAACCACTGGTCAATTTTAAACAAAAGCAAACTTACCGGGAATCATCGGAAAATGTCCTGGAACAACTTCAACTGAGGAGAGAGAGCAACAAGTAGATAAGTGAGTGCTTTTGTCAATGAATAAATCATGTATTGATTATTAGTGATAATAACAGAATTTAACACTGACCTGGGTCTTTTCGACCTGGTTTTTCAAACCTTCTTTCTCCCCTGGTGAGATAATTAAAACACATTATGTAAGCTCATTACAAACATATTGATTGAGCATTTGCATACGGTTAAAACTATTTATTTTAAACGTAACACCACAAATGAGCATCTTCATACCTTTCTTCCCAGCTTTGGGAGCGATGCATCTCCCTCGCTCCACGACCAAAACCTTCCACATCATCAAAACTTCTTTGGTAAAACCCTCCATCTCCTCTTCCCCGGCCTGAGGACAACCACAGGTTGACGTGAGTTAACGTGACCTTAAGAGGGTTAATTAGCTACTGACTAGGTGTGACTGCTTAGCATGAACTAGTCTTTAGGTGGGATATTCAACATGTGGTCAAAGGACCAAATTCAGTTCAAACATCAGCAGGGGGTCGCACAAGACATATGTAGATTTTCCACATCAGAAAGTCTATAGCATCTTCTGCAGCCAGTAGTATTGGGTGGATTCACTTTATAATAATATGCATAAATATATAGCTGAAATACCATGATCCATGCACAAAATCAAATAATGCTGTACTTTTCCATATTTATACAAGGATGCACAATAAACAGTAAAGAGAACTACCGTAATTTTCGGACTATAAGCCGCGCTTTTTTCCCCATTTTTCGACGCTGCGGCTTATATAACGGTGCGGCTAATCTATGGATATTTACAGCTCACGGCCACCACCTTTAACTCTATGGGCTCTATGGCCGGTCCGCGCCCCCCACCTTTAAGCGGCGGGCTCCAGCAGGAAAAGCTGGAGGCCGGAAAAGAGTGAGACAGGTAGCGCGCAAAAGTAAAAGTGGAACCGAGAGACAGAACGAGAGCAAGACAGACAGACATTACGAGAGCGAGACAGTTTGTCCCCGTACCACTGGTTGAAAACCACTGCTGTAGATCACTGCCGGTACGTGCGCTGGGAGCGCACCGTTTAAGTTTGAAAGTTGAAAAGTTTGTGTGTCTGAAACGCTATGTGATACAGTACAGTTTACACAGCACAGTACATGTTCTGTAGCTACTATTGCACTAAATGGTAACACTTGAATACGTTATGCAAATATGCAACTTGTTTGTTGAAATGTTAATAAATGGGAGCTTCCTCAAACAGCCATCTCTTTCCCGACAATCCCCTCTGTGCACGAACCCTTACATATGGTAATTAAACATTAAAACACCTGCGGCTTATAGTCCAGTGCGGCTTATATATGTACACATCATTCAATTTAGCTGCTGCGGCTTATATTCAGGTGCGCCTTATAGTCCGAAAATTACGGTAGATTTAAAGTGAAGAAAAGGAGTGGTGCAGGAATGAGTCCTAAAACCCAGAAATGAGTCAGCATTTTAACATTGCTGGTTTGCTTGTATTCAAGTCAATGCATTTTATTAGATGGCTGAAGTAAGGTCTGTGGTTTACAAAAGCCAAATACGTGTTTTCATGTTTTGTTCTACAACATAACATACTTTAGTAAATACCCCACTGGTCAAATTATTCTTTTATGCATTTTAAAAACGGCCGAGGCTAACAAGTGACAGAATTGACAGTACTTTAGAGTTGGGGTGTTGGTTGAGCATTCAGATTTAGCAGCATGAAGAGCACTGTAAAATACAGAATGCAGCTTAAACTGATTTGAGGAGGAATACGGTGTCTGAATGTGTGTGTTCTTGATACCATCAGACTGAACTCAAACAGGTTTCTCCATGTTTTAGACATATCAGCAATTCAAGCAGCTGCAGCAGTGTGTGCTGATCAGGCACAATACCTACAGAGTGCTAATATTACACTCCTTGTCCCAGCTGGTAGGAGTCTTCAAAGGCTTCCTAAATATCTGTGCTTGTTGTGACTTCTGAAACTGCATAGGCAAAATAGCAAAATGGCTTTGTATCCTTGAAAAGAGCAAGGAAACATGAAACATCCTGGTATGATCTTAATTAAATTCTTACCTCTACCCCTTGAGGTACTTCGGCCTCTTGGTGCCCCTACTATCGGACCGCTTCCACGCCCTGTCAGCCGGAGTACAGCTGAACTGTTTACAGACATGGAAAAATTTCTCTGCAAACACAAAAGAGGGGGGGGGGATAGTGGGACAAAAGATACACTCTTAACTTTCTGCTTTGTGACTGCTCATTATTTTATAACCAGATTGCCAAACTCAAATCTGAGAAATGACAATAAGAAGCCAACTAGCCTGAGGGCAGTATGATATGTATCTTGGTCTGGTACTGTTTCTGATCTCTGACCTAGATAAAGACCTGGTTAAAGAACACCTACCTGTTCCTCCTCTGTAAAAGACACGAGTGCCAGGGGCGGCAAGGGCTCCTCTTGCAATATGGGCAGGAACTCTTTATCGTGAAGGTCTAAGGGGATCTGGCAGAGAAAAACAATTAGACGAAAACAAGGAGAATGAATATCTAATCCTGGCAGGAATACAACTTTGACAAGTTATTTAATTATATAATAATTAATATAACCTGGAGGCCTACCAACCTTGTCATCCTCTACATAAAGTGCTAACATTTCTTCTCTTCCGTAGCGATATTCTGCGAGTTTATACTTTGGCAATGCAGGTGAGAGGGGTGGAGAGACAACCCCACAGCCGCCTCCTCCACCACCACCACCAATACCGCTGCTCCCCCCTCCAGACAAGGCACGGAGCCTGCAAAAGAGAGGAGGAGAAAGGGTGGTAAAAGCAGAAGGGACATAAGAAGAGCAGAAAACACTTAAAAAGCTGAGGTGGCACTAGACATGTCTGAACATGTATGACTTTACATAAAACCAGTTTCACAACTTCCAAATCATTTCATTCTGACCAATCATGAATTTATGCCAGTTCATTTACCATTCTGGTCCAAAGTTAAGTGTCTGGGTTTCGGCCATTCTTCCTCGAAGTTCTACAGATATAAAAAGAAGAAAAGGGATTAGTGCCACTTAGTATCATTATAGTATAGCAGTACTACGGTTGGAAATTAAATGTACACATTGTCACTGTAAATAATTTACCTAAGAATCGCACAGAAAATAAAAATCCTACAGATGATGTAACTTGTTTTGTTAAACAAACATTTACTAACAATTCAGTAGTCTGTGGTTTTAGGGATGCACATGTATTACCATTGAAAAAAAATCATTTGCATCTTTTTCATATAAGGAAAACTAGATTAGGTTATTGTCCATTTTAACTGCAGTGTTGTCTTGCAATCAATAACTATCTACAAAAATACAATGTAAACCATGTTGTTTTACGATAACGGTTTTTCATAATCAATTATTTATCACAACTAATTTACCATAGAAAAATTCTGTTCAATATAATTTGGAAACAGATGTAAGGTTTTGTTACCAGCTTTAAAGAATTAAAACTCCTCAGGATATATAGCCCATCCCACTAGCAGTGTACAATTTCAATCTGCTAAAGCTATTTTAGGAAGTCTCCCAGTCTGCAAAGAGGGCCTGGACACCTGTAACTGACAACTAATGCAGCCTTTAGGAAATAAACCACTACAAAAAATGTTTTTTGCCAATAGGATTTGAAGTTCTTTTATATATGTGTATCCATTACCAAGACTTTTCCTTCATACTTTGACTGGAAAACAATGAGTTATGACTTAGCAAAGCTTGTTCAAATATCGGGCACAAACGGCGACAGTACACACACTGACCATATGGAAGCCAGGATAAGCCACGTGTAACTTGGTGGTTAAAGCAATAAATACAATGACTACATTGAAGTTACAAGCATTTGTGACAATTTCCCTACACGACTTGCACATGCACCATTGATAAAATACAGTATACAAACAAAAGTTTAAATGAATAAAAAAGATACGACTTGAAGAAATTACTTTTGATCCTATCTCGCAAACTACCCAATCCGTTCAAAACAAAAATACCCTTTAAAAGTTTGGTTGTGACTTTTAAAAAAGGCATATGGATTGAATCAGCGAAAAAGGTGACAGATCCCTGTGTTCCTTCAAAGCTGTCCCGATTGTTAACTAACACTTTCTGTACATCGTGTAACGTTAACGCAAATCAAACACACAGCTAAATACCGTGAGTCACACTGACTCACCGTACAGTACATTGTGGCTAACTCTGGTTAACACTACTGATGCATGTTAAAGTTGGAAAGATCCGAAATAGTCAATCGGGAAGGTTAAGTGTAAATCATCACTAACGTTAGCTAAAATAGCAAGCTAACCAGTCCAATGCACAGCTAACATGGGTAATGTAGCTTTACACAAGACGAACGTAACTGACATTAGCCAACACATTTCCTATCGTATAAAGGTTGACCGTGGATTAATAGTTATGTTGAATGTTGTCAGTAGAGTTGTGTTACTTTCTACTTGCATGTGCCACACCAGGGTATTCCTGTTAGCCAACGGTAGTTATGCTAGCGCATTAGCTAGCCCTCTGCATTTCGCCAGCTAGCAATAAGCTTTATATCCCAACGTAGCTAATGTGTGCGTGTCATACGTGGAGATGAGACATAATGCACTGAAATACATGTGTTACCCATAAGGAAAAACGCATTGTCATATGGTCTACGTAAATGAACAAGGCAACACTGATTTTACACAGGAGTTAATCCCTATCCTCAATGCTAGCATGCTAACAGTTGGGCTAACTAGCTACACGCGGCCTTCGCGCAGCCTGGATCCACAACAACATTTCCTCCTCTAACCATCCCGCACTTCACTCGGTCCGGACGCGGCATACTGAGTCACTGGACCCCGGTGCTGCGAGGCCAAGCAAACATGTTGGTTTAACAACAATCCCAAGCACCACAGCTCGTCACAATATGACTCTCTGACATGGAGCTTTACCGAAATATACGATTTTCCTTCGTTAGTGTATTAAACTTTGGCTGTCTTACCTCTGCTTGTTCTGACAGCACAAGGTTTGTATGCGAGTTGTGTGGCTCTCTCTCTCTCTCTCTCTCTCTCTCGCTTTCCACAAGATGGCTGAGTGTAGGTCACATGACATCTGATCAAACCCGTATGTCGTGTACAGATTTGCTGACTGGTGCGGTTTTCTCAAACAACCAGGTGAATATTATCAATGTTTTTTTTATCACTCTCATAATGGACAAAAATATATCACAAAACACATCCGTATTTAAATCTATAAATGCATTGATAAATACAAGATAAGAAATAATCAGCAGTGGTGTAAAGTAGGCCTAACTAAGTAGGCCTACATTCACTCAAGTAGGCCTAATTTGTACTTCTACTCTTCTACTACTTCTATTATTCAGAGATGGAAAGGGTACTTGTTCTCCACTACATTTATTTACTATCTGTAGTTACTTTACACATTTTGATTGATGATGTGAAATATAACAAAACTTACACCTGGAGTAATAAGCTACCCTGCTGCTCTTGCTGAAACAGATAGATGGGCGAAAGACATACAAATAAAAGGATGTTGTCTGCCACAGGTGAATACATATATATTTATAGAATTTCCAATAACTTAAAAATTAGAAACATTTTTGATTCACTCTTGACATAATATTTTAATTTGTAGTGTTTGTAAAATATGTACAGTTACATTACTACTATATTTGGGCTTTACAGGGTTAACAAGGTATTATACATAAATATATACATACATATATGACAGATGGAATATTAAATATTGAACAGATTATATAAATGTACAATGTAGTTTTATTCCAAGAGAAACTATGGAGCAGAGACAGTTCTCTGCCAGCCAGAGGTGGTTTATTGTACTTAGTTATTGCAGTGGGCAGGAATGTTTTCCTGTATCGGTCCTTGTGACAGCGGAGCTGCAGCAGTCTGTTAGAGAAGGAGCTCCGTTGACTGTCCAGCTGCAGGTGGAGAGGATGGGTGGGGTTATCCATGATGGACAACAGCCTGTTCAGTGTCCTCCTCTCCACCACAGCTTCAAAGGGGTCCAGCTTGATTCCGATGACAGACCCAGCTTTCCTGATCAGTTTATTGATTCTGCTGTTGTCACCGGCTCTGATGCTGCCCCCCTAGCAGACCGGAGCAAAGAAGAGTGCACTGGCCACAACAGACTGGTAGAAGATCTCCAGCATCTTGCTGCACACGTTGAAGGATCTCAGCTTCCTCAGAAAATAGAGTCTGCTCATCCCCTTCTTGTACACAGCGTCAGTGTTGCTCCTCCAGTTCAGTCCATTGCCTAAGTGCACTCCCAGGTACTTGTAGTCCTCCACAACAGCCACATCCTCTACAACAGAAGCGCTCCAACCCACTGCGTCAACTGTTTTTAGGTAATTTGATTACTAGCTATTTTGCTAGGGATCTTGCAACATTAAAGCATTATCAAAGGCATGTCCTTCATTGGGTAATTCTGTGACAGAATCTAAAACTTTGATAACTTTATGTTATGATTTCATTATCCATATTCTTAAACAATAATGTGTTGATAGAACAAAATTGACACACAGGAAATCTGGAGTAAGGTAGCAGGCCTATTATTCCCAATACTATACATTGTTATACAATAGGAATCTATGAGCTGGCGACTAGACTATTACCAAAAGTTGAGGAAGCTACCATGTAAAGTCTGCTGTGTTCTCTACCTAATGGGAATTTGGGGGTATTGACTGTACATAAAATATGCAAAGAGAGTGGTAGGCAGAGGTGGGGGAAGAAACCCAGCAGCAGTCTCTGCCCTGTGGCCCTCAAACAGGTAAGGTAGGTACAGGTACAGCCATAGGTACAGCCATAGGCCATAACACAATCATAGGCTACATTATGACGCGTGGTCTTTAGTAAGCCTATGCTAGTTAGCTGATGCTCAACTCAAATTAGTGTCTATTTAGTGTGTAATAAGTACAGACGGTATATATAACGCAAGTAATTTCAGTTAAGTATAATATCTCACCAGTAGGCTTAACTTTTAAACTTGTATCCCTATAAATACAGCTAGTGCAGAATCCAGTCTAACCTGCAGTCAACTGTTCCAAACACACAGCAAGGTGCAAGTTACGTTAGCCACTAACAGCCGCGCCTACTTGTTGTTTGTGTTAATGGATCAAACTAATGATGTCGATTCAGGTCTGTAGTATTTCTCATAGCAAATAGCATTTTTTCTTACCATTAGCCAACAATAAATAGTTTAAATATGTTCATGTTTTTCTTACTAACTTTACAAGTCTTACTATTGCTAGCTAGCAAACATGTCAGGCTAATATTTAGCTACGCTATCTGCAGTTAGGTCTCCACTAGTTTCGGGAAGTGCCAATTTAACTTTGACATAAAATGTCTAAACATGTTTTTTAGCAAATGTAAGACAATCAAATATAAAACAGAAATAATGGCCCTTGTGGAAACAATGTATCTGCTCGTGGTTTATGTTACGGGACTTTACATTTTGTACTGTCTGTATTCGTGCGTACTAACAAAATATGACGACTTTTTCTGCAAAAATAAAATCTAAAATAAATGTCCAAGGATCATGCCTTTGCGATCTTTGTCTATTCTTATTACTCACGATATCGTCGTCGGTTCGTTGGTCTAGGGGTATGATTCTCGCTTAGGGTGCGAGAGGTCCCGGGTTCAAATCCCGGACGAGCCCTTCTTTTTTTATGCTGGCGGCATTTCACATATTCGACATACAGCTCTGAAAATAATTAAAAGACCACTCTCATTCTCATTCGCTAAATGTATGTTAGCCATTATATACCAGTGAAAGCGAGCTTTGGCTTGGGCGCGTTCTCACTACACACAACACGGAACCAAATTTTGTCTTATGATGTTAGCATAAGCACACATATTGTATAAATAAGCATGTAAACACAGTGGACCTCACCTCCCCGGGAAGATTTTTTTTTAAATATTGAAGTTAAAAGCATCAATCTGGTGCACTTTGAGAGCAACATTAAGAGATCTATGGAAAGGGAAAGCTCTCTCATTACAGGGAAAGATTACATTAATTAATGCACTTGTGATTCCACAGTTTGTTTATCTCTTGATTTCACTTCCCTCCCCAGAGGCATCTTTTTTTTAAAGCTTTGAACAACGAATGTTTAAGTTCATCTGGAATAATAAGCCGGACAAGATAAAAAGGCAATACATATATAATACACTTGAAAATGGTGGACTAAACTTAAAAAAATTGGCAGCAATGAATTCATCCTTAAAAGCATCTTGGATTAATAAGATGTATCATAATAGCTGGAGAACAAGTCAGAATTTATTTTCAGGGCACTTATTTTTTGACTGTAAACTGTTTCCCTTTTTCCAATTAAAACCTCACCACTGTGAATGGTTATTCAAAGAAATATTAGTAGAAATCTCACCATTTGTTAGAGATGCATTGAAGGCTTGGTTGAGTTTCCAGTATTACCCCCCAGATACACCAGAAGAAATCCAAAATCAATTAATATGGTTGAACTCAGAAGTTTTAATAGATGGAAAACCACTATTATGGGAAAGTCTCCTGAGAAAAGGAATTATTTTCCTGAATGATTTACTAGATAGCTCAGGTAATTTAAATCAGTGTTTTCGCTGTATGTATGGTCAGATATGTGATTTCCTTCACTTTAACCAGCTGCTTTCAGCTATTCCAACTAACTGGAAACGTAAATTAAAAAAAGATGGAAACCGGCAACAGGTCTGTACACCTCAATATACAGTTGATGAATACAATTATTTTTCTGGCAAAAATACTTATTTTTAAAGCTCAATGAAGGGGAAATCTGAATTTAAGGTGTGTGAAAAGTAGATTAAAAACACAATTTATTTTGGAAAGGATGATTGCCACAAAGAATCAAAGGATGGCTCAACACACCATGAAATGGGAAACAATCAGCTCTAGCGAAGAGTGGGATNNNNGTTGTGTGTGCTTATGCACCCAACAGCAGTTCAGAGTATACAGCCTTCTTGGAGACCCTGGAAAGAGTCCTGTATGGGGCTCCTGAAGGGGACTCTTTAATCTTGCTGGGAGACTTGAACGCACATGTGGGCAATGATGGAGACACTTGGAGGGGATTGATTGGGAGGAACGGCCCCCCTGATCTGAACCGGAGTNAAGGGGAAATCTGAATTTAAGGTGTGTGAAAAGTAGATTAAAAACACAATTTATTTTGGAAAGGATGATTGCCACAAAGAATCAAAGGATGGCTCAACACACCATGAAATGGGAAACAATCAGCTCTAGCGAAGAGTGGGATAAAAAGGAATAATAAATGCTTTTGATGATATTGGACTGTCAACCTATTTTTTTGTTTTGTTTATGAAATGTTGAAGTGACTTTTATTATTTTATTTTTATTTATTTTTCTGTTTTTTTGTTGTTGTTTGAGATAAGAATGTCTCTTTTTGTTATTGTAATGTCCATGTTTTGTGTCTGTAGCCTGTACAATAACAACAACAAAAATCTGCGGATACATCTCTCAACACCCATATGAAACAGAACTTTAAACAGATTTTATTTTTCTTATACTAATCACTCCCCTTTTAAACTGTATTCTTGTTTTACTGTCATATAGTATTTCATACCTGTTTTTCATTTATCCTCTCTGGCTGTCCATCTCATAATGTTCACATAGAAACTAGCTCTCAATAGGAATATCATTCAGAAGAATTATAATTTCATGCAAAAATCTGTCACAAAAAGAGGTTGCACATTTAAATGCAGGTGTTGTTATGGCAACGTCAGTGGCCAAACAGCTACATTTACTGCTGCAAATATGTTCAAACATGCTGTCGACAAGTAAAGCAGTGGCAAATATGCCTTATGTCGCTTAATGGGTCGGGCCGGCTCTGGTTGAAACCATAGACTTTATAAGTTGAAGCACACCACAAAGACACGTTGTAAGTAGTTAATACAATTAAAAAATTAAACACATACAGGTTGTAAAACCAGAGAAACTGATAATTTTGCAGTGGTCTCTGAATGTATTCCAGAGCTGTATCTATAAATTGGGAAGTGAAATGCTTTGTTGCCAGTGACACCGTCTTGTATTTTTTACAAACA